GCCTACTGCTTGGTTGCTGTTCTTTTCCTTACTGCATCAATAGAGAGAGAGAGAGAGAGAGGGTCAGACACAAGCAGATGCCTACAGTTTTGTCAGGTCGTCAGTCCCTCGTGAGGTGGGGTGGGTTGGTAGATTCTTTGGCCTCTTCTTCTCCAATGGCAGTCCTCAACTTAGTCTCTCTACTCCTCAACAATGGCGTTCCTCCATTCCACTGTGGCAACCCATGCTCAGGTCACTGTGGAAACGAAGCTTTCGATTGTAGGGTGACAAGCTCCAAATGGAGACGGCGACGGAAAGGATCTCCCACACGAAGCCTTGTAAGGTTCATACTGTTCCTTATAAGATCCCCGAACTACATATTATTCCTAAACAAGTCAACAAACGAGATATGGTCTTCGACTTCATCTGGTTCTGGTAATTCTGTAAATACATGAAGATTGGAGTTGGTGGCGACAAATGGGCCACGGCCCGTGGATCACTAAACCGGCCTACAAATGGTTGTCTGATGCGGATTTCATTGAACCCCTTTGCCTCCCATCGAAGCCTCACCCTCAAACCCTCGTTCAACCTCGACGCCAACTAACTCCGTCGGCGATGGCTCGGTGGCTCCTCCCTTCCCGTGGGCTTCTCCGCCTCAAATCACTCGCTCCTTCGTCCGCTTCTGCCCTAATCTCCCGCTCCTACATCTCGGAGATGCGCCGCTCCGCCTTCAAGGAGAACCTCCTCCGGATCCTCCGTACCGAGATCGCCTACGAGGTCGAGTCTCGGCCCCCCTCCCAACTGGAGGCCGCGTTCCGGTCCTTCGACGTCGATGACCGGCCTGGGGAGCAGTGGATCAAGCTGCGGTGGAGCCGCGGTCGGGAGGAGATCAAGATCGAGGCCACCATGTTCGACGGCGCCGCCCCCTCCACACGGTCGGCCGCACCTTCGGAGGTGGCAGACGCGGGCGATGCCCGCCTTCATATCACCCTCATGGTTGAGGTGTCGAAGGGCGACGACTCGGAGTTCGCCCTCCAGTTCGCTTGCTCGGCCTGGCCCAATGATATTGAGGTCGAGAAGGTCTTTCCTGTCCGCCGTGGGCATGCGACGCATAGGCAGTACATGGGTCCCAACTTCAAGTAATGAATGATATCCGCTTTTGTTTTGTTCTTGTTCTGGATTTATGTATTGTTGTTGTTGGAGTTGATTTCGTGGTGTTTGGACAGGGAATTGGATGAGGAGATGCAGGATACTCTTCTGGAGTACTTGGAGGAGAGAGGGGTGAACGATGATCTCGCCGGATTCTTGCATGGCTACATGGCGAACAAGGACAGAACAGAGCTGGTTCGTTGGTTGAGGAATATCGAGACCTATGTGAAGAAATAGTGAGACTTATTGCCTTTTTAGGTTTCGATTTTGTCATCTTATTACGATTCAATTTTGTGCTGTTTATTCAGCACTGAGCTCGTCCATTGGCTTTGGTAAATCAACATGCACTGTTGAAATATCTTGGTCATTTGTGTGTCATTTTGTTGTCTGAGTTCAAATCGAGGCTTGCAATCATTCCTGAGGCTCAAAAATATTTCGTGATATAAATGGTTGATCTAAACATTTTAAATTTAGTTTACATAATCCTAGCCCCGTATTCACAACATATTAATCTTGTGCTTTAATTTCTTTTTATAATTATGCATATTTAACCAACACTAAATTTTGTTCTAGGATAAATGGTGGCCATGTGCACGAAGCTCCCACCACCACAAGATTGGGAAGGGTCAACATATGATGTCTTACCTCTGCGAGCAGGAGGCAATATCCTGATCACCCAGGTTGCGAAATTGCAAGCTTAACATAGTGCCAAGGCTGACCCCATAGTAGGATTACATTGTGGGAGAAGAGATGGAGAGGCACAGTCTTCCTGTTTGGTGCTTGCCTCCCCCATGATTATTAATTGTTCACCTTCGCACAGTGAATGTTCACTATGGACTGGTTGGAAAATCTCAGGGAAATTTGTGACAAGACAGGGATTTAACTGAAAGTGATTTGTGTCAATTATCTTTTTAATCAGGTTTAGAAAGCAAAAACCACATAAATAGTCTGCTGAGATGCTCAACTTGCACATGAAGTTTTGGTGTTACTTGAATGCTAAGAACATATTTGCTTAACAGTCTGATTTCCTCTGTACTTTTCTTCGTTATGGACCTCTGCTTACCTTTGAATCAAATACATTCATTAACATTTTGATACCAAGAAAGTCCATAAGACAACTTTGTCTGATCAGCTTCCATCTAAGATGAAAGTACTAGTATATGCATAATTTCTTTGCACTTAGCACAGATAGTATTCATCAAAAGGCGATATGATGCCTTCTCAAGAAGTCTTAGCATATCTAAGTGCATATTTTAGATGAAATGGTTCACCACATGTTTACGATAATTTGTTTGTAATTTACCGATGTAAATTAATTGAAATCAGAACACAAAGCTGTAACGGCCATGCAGATTCTTTTAAATAGTAAACTTTTTAAAGGTATAATTTTCTTCCTTTTATTTCCTTTGTATAGATAAGTTAGTTTGGTTACTAATCAAGCAAGCAGGATATTGATCTAAAGAGGTTGTGTTGGTTACGATTTTAATTTTCTATTTCTAAAGAAAATGATAAAGAAAGGAAATGGTATATGTGCTGATTGCTAGTATCTGGTTTTCTTCCCGTTTGCATATTTGATTGTTTCATTGTTCCGTTTGCACTATATATTTTCTGCATTTAGGTGAGATTATGATTGATAGGAAAAAGTCATGTTTAGGCTTGTTATTTACCGTCGTTTGTAAGAAAATATTACTTGACATCATCATGGTGAAAGATGAATAAAAGTTGAATTCTTCGATTTAGTATCAAGCCTAAGTGTATGATAGTTTGTATGATAGTTTTGGAAATTCTGAAGTATCGGAAATTTTTTTATCTTTTATTTGGATGATTCGATAGTGAAGGAAAAAAAAAAAACCTAATTGAGTTTAAGATCTTCTAACCTGGACTAGAATGTCATAAGTCAAAACAACAGCCTTGATCAGTTTTGTTTAGTTTACTTTAAATCTCAAATATTCATAGAGATTTTAGGAGGATCATGAACGTTTCAAAAATCTTGAACAAAGGGAAGAAAAGATTTTTTTTGGTGGACAAACCTCTTGGGAGTGATTAAGGTGAATCAAAATTGTATGGAAACTTCTGCAGATCATGTGATCTGTGAACCCACCAGATGTTGCATTAAATTGCTTGTAAAAGCCAAGATGGGTTGTGCTATTAGTCCATCTAAGTTGCTGTTCTAATTTCTACAATGATGTAAATGGTTTTGAGTTGGAAATAGCTGCCATCGCAGATAATATCAAGGTTGAATATTAAATATAAAATAGAAACTTATCTTTCTCCTTGTCGACAAATGGCTTGTTAGTTGTTTGGATCTTACTTTTTTTTCTACTATCAGTGTGTCATGAAACATTCACTGGATTATGTTCCTTGTTGTTCTTAAACTTTTTTAGAAAAAAGATTTTGCTGTTTAAATCATTAGTAGGGCATGATTCGTTTCATCTAGACCCTTGTTTATTTCTTTTATAGCTTTTTTCTCAATCCTTTATCATAAAGTGTGCACTTCTGATATTAAATTATGTTTCATTTGCTTTAATCCCATCAAAGGTATAGATTATTATGTCAGGACTTCAGTACTTTCTTGTAACATCACGAAGTCCATGGGGGATGAAATCTAACCAGAAGTTGGTCAGTAGATCTTATTTTTCTTATTTCTACATGATTTCTGTGGACGAACACTTTAATTTAGGTCCATCAACTGACTTTATTTGTCTTCTACCATGTGTTGTCTTGCATTAGATTGCAAAGACCAAAAGCAGATTTGACTTCTTCTAAACTTTCCAACAATGTCCACCCCTTTATTCTTTTGATTTGCCAAATTTGTTATTCTAACTAGTTGCCTCTATCAATTTGGTTTGCAGCATATGTCAACTGCATTATTGGCTCTTTTGTAGTTTACTTTCCGGATACACTTTATTATGCCCTCATTCATGCCTCATAGTGTATGTGTTTGTGGATCATGATGCTTGTTGGACATGACTCTTAATAACTGAGTTCTTTTTTCATCACGTCTGTTATATACTGGACCATGTGAAAATTGCTTTTTTGGTGCCATACTAGTGGGCATTGATTCTATCATTTTTTGTTACTCAATTCTTCTTGTATTGCTTTGAACCTAATCTCTGCTGTTCTTGTGCACATTCTTTACCTAAAATCAATGTCTATTTCATCGGCTGGAATTCTTTATTTGTTTTTTCTTTGCTATGCGTATTCTTTACTAATGATATTCTCTATTTTGTCGGTGGTAATTCTTTGTTAATTTTTTTTTTACTTTCTTGTGATTAGTCTTACCCAGTCTTCTTTTCTTGTTGAATGAAATGGACTGTAGAACCTTTAGAGTTGTTATTAATCCATGCCAAAGCATTGAGGTCCCTACCACAATCAATGGAACACCAAATCTCCAACTCTTGCTTTTCCTGAAGTCAAAATCATAATTAGTTATTTCTCCACCCACACAACATTGCCACATGTAATGCATCATTGCAATGACAATTTGTGTGTCCTTTACATCAGTATAAACCAACTCACATCTTCAGCATTTCTTCCAAAAGTTGTAACACAGAATAATTTTTAATTTCTCTCCTAGGATTTAATCAACATTTAAGTGGTGTAAGGTCATGATGTCATGTTATGTATATTAAGCGACTTCGTCAAAGAATAATTGCTGTTCTGATATGGCTATTTCATGTGGAAGAATCAGTAAGGTGCTTGATTGGTGTTTGCTTCAGCTTTCATTCTAGGTTTCTCAATATATATTGAGAAGTTCCTGTTCAGATTCTTTCCTTTGCTAACAACCACTTACATGGCATAAATGTGTTTGTCCTCCAAATATTTGTGTAATTAAAATAACATAATATCTGTAGTTTCCCGTTCATTAACTGTACCTGCTAACATACTTGTTTACATGTAAAGCAATTATTTTCACAAGTATGAACCATAGCCTTTAGAGTTTCTTGGAGAAAAAAATTCCACTGCTGTCCTTTTCTTGAGAAGCTCTTTCAATTTAAACTTTATTATTATTAGTTTCTTCTATTCTTAACTTGTGGAAGGCTTGGAAACAAAAAAAAAGTCCAAATGTGTAGGACAAAGAGAACGCCCTCTGGCTGACTTCAAACATCAAGTATCTAAATGCATTGAGATATTGTGGAAAAGCAGGTTTTACTGCACTAATTTGTGGTTACTAATTGCTTTTACTGCAACCTGCAGGTCCCTTCTTATTCCTAACTGAAACTTCAACATCTCCTACATTTGAGCCAACTCTCTTGCCATCCATCATACCCAGGTATTTAATCTCTGTTTAAATGCCTCTTTATGTCTTAGTAATCAATGCAATAGATAAGTATCGCGAGCCCCAAAACCTTAAATAACTCCCCCTGAAAGAATTTAAACAACAATTCTGTGCAGCCCTCTCTTTATTGCTTCTGAGGCTGTGTATTCCATCACCCTTTTTGCTATTAAGATTTGTTCTAATACATGCAAAAGACTCAGATAAGGCACATATTTTTTAACATACAAAACTTGGATATTGCCACCCTCTCTTATTGGCGTCTAAAGCACCGTTTCTTGAGATATTGGAGATAGATAAAACCTTGTGAGTTGATAAGGCAATTTAATTACATGGTGAAGGAATGTGAGAATTTGATGTTTCTTTCACTGTGATATGTTAAGTTTCATCTTAGTTAGCAGATGGGGAATCTTTGAGAGTTTCATTGTTTATAGAACTTTATCCATCTTAAAAATTGTTTCTTTGTTGGAGAGCAGAGAAATCTCAGCTCTCAATGAAGCTATTGTCATATCATGGAACAACACCAAGCTATGTTTACCAATGGTGAACTATTATTGAAAGGAGACAGCATCTGAGCAAACAAATCTGTGACAAAGTAGAGTAACGAGGGTAGAGAAGAAAGAAGAACGAAAAAGGGTAATCCCCAACCACAAAGACTGAGCTGCTACCAACTCTTTAGAGCTTTAAGGTCAAGTCAAGCTTCTGCACCTCCTTCTTCCCTACTATGACTTGGTCTCCGGCGTCAATCCACCGGTGGCCTCCGATCACCGCCTGGGGCTCATCAAACCTCGCCGCCAGAGCCGACGTCCTTGCACAGAAGTCCTCCCTGGCCATCAGCCTCCCTACTCCAGGTTGCCGCTCGTTCAGAGAAGAGCCATAGCAGGGCTTGTGTATCATCGAGTGCACCTGGATTCCCAAAGGCCTCCCGCCATACATGCCGTGCAGTGGCAGCGCTGCCATGCTGGGCGGAAACCTGTGGCTGGGGTGGTCGCCGAGGCGAGCGCCAGGGCGGGCGCCGTTCTTGGTGAGGGATCGCTCGCGCTTGTGCGCGTTCTGGTGCCCGCCGAGCGCCTGCGAACTGTAGAACTTGCGGCGACAGTAGTTGCAGGAGAACACGCGGGGCTCCGACTCCGGCGACCCCCGATGAGGTAGCGCCCCCGAGGCAGTGCTTGGCTCTGCACCACCCAAAGACTCGATGAGGTTGAGCTCGAGCACTGGCGTGCTCGTGCTCAACGACGGGGACTTCTCCCCTGCATCCTTGTTGGACAGGCTGAGGTCCAATAACTCCTCGTTGAACTTGGGTTGCTCTCCACCTTCTTCCTGCTGCTTCTCCTCCGCCTCCTCCAACACCATCATGCACTCTTGCTTGGCCACCACATGAGGCGTTTCTGATAGGGTTGAAGTAGTCTGAGAAAGAGTAGTCTCTGTTGTGAACCCAAGTACTTCCATGGAACACTTGGTGTCTTGACTTGGCTCCTTGGTGGCGAATATAAGGAGTGGTTCCTTGGGAGGGCTACATGGAAAGAAACAACAGCGGTGAATGATGATTATTCTATGCCATCTCACATTCCTTATCCAAGGAAAGATACACTGGGTTACAGTTACTTTGGTCTGTACTTATGGACAAGGTTTAATGTTTTAGAGAGAGAGAGAGAGAGAGAGAGTAGTATTTAAGTTAGCCATTCACCCATCTTCTCGCTCTTCCTTAACTCATACCATATATGCATGGTTTTTTGAATTCCAAGGAAAGACTGATGTAAGATGAGTTGATTGCCTGGTTGATGCAAATCATAGCATATAAGATTGATTTGAGTCCTTTTAATTTTTTTCGCTGTTGGAGGGTGGCATCATTCTAGATATTTGTATTCAAGTTGATTGAGATACCTGACAAAGAATATGGATGTGTACGAATTTGTATTGATGACTGTGATTCTATTTTTGGCCGGATGTTTTCATGCACGTTTTGTTTTTTTCATTTTATGCTCATAAAGGAAAGGCTGAGGTGATGGGTACTTCTTGGAGGCAAGTAGAGATAGAGATCAATACTTGTGTGTGTGAAAAGTAAAAATGAAGGAAGTGAGTTTAATGGAAAGAAACCATTCATCCATATCTCTGTAATTTGGCAGCCTAAAATGGTCAACCCAAGGTATTCATTATACGCAAGAGAATTAATGCTGAAGAGTAGTATCATGGCAAAATTAATTTTGGGTCTTACATACAATTTTCCCTGAGAAGACCCTGAAAGGAAGTACAATTGTAATTCTTTTCTGGTTTTGGATATTACAACAATCCACCAAATGGTGTCTGATTTTTCTTAGAAATAGAAATAGTTTTATCTTAATCTTTAAATGATAATGTTATGGATACACCTTAGCCAGTTGAGTAAATTAAGAAGTTGGTAGATATTTGGTGAATTATTAGATGCTGCAGGTTACAACCAATTTTTAGAAAGAGAGAAAAAGAGTATGCCATATTTACTGTGAACATCCTTTATAACCTCTGCATTCAGGTTATCTCACTGTTGATATGTTCACCATATGTACCCTAAATCCTTTTCAAGTGTCGAAGTGTAGTCAAACTGATATTGATGTGCCAAATAAAGGCATGGCAAATCAGGTGTGTATGCCACTTTTTCATTTTTGTTGTTGTCTCCTCCTGGTTGAGATCTCCTTCCACATCAGTTTCTTAGGGGCTTCACCCAGTTGTGGCAGACAAGTTGGGAGCATTATGTGGACTGAAACAAACCCTCTTCCCAGCGTCAAAAGTGCCATTCTACAGCAACTACAATTTGCAACACTAGCAGATTGTAGCTCTGCAAATGGCAAGAGACCTTTGAGAATTAGAAGAGACAATCCCTTCTTGGAAGATGGAGACTCCTCTCATCCTATCTGAAAGTACCAGCAGCTAACTCAGATCTCACTGCAACCCACTTTTTCTCTCTCCCCCACTCCACTTGCAAGTGCAGTCTCATGAACTCTAGAACTGATTGGGCACAAGTGATATGTTGGTCTGCTTCATATATCTACCCCCGTTTGCCAAGGTGCATACACACTTGAGATATCCTTTTCTGGCTTGTCTATTTCAGCAGGAACATATCTAACTGGGATCTCAATATCAACACTGCCACATATATTTAGCTGACCTCCACCCAGAGAAACTTTGGCTTCCATCAGCAGGTGTGGATGAACAAGTACAACAACCAATTGAAGTAGGCCAAGAATCAATATCCTCCATTGTTGCCACCATCAAGAAACCCTTTGTGTGTGTCCACAGGACAAGTAAGAAACAAGCAAGGCAACTTATGAAATATAGATGGGAGCATTCATGAAGATCAGTTTGATGTTTGTTCTTGTAAAGTCCCTGTAGGTACCATGGTTGCAGAAGATGTGGATTAAGAAACTGTAGTTATCCAAAGGATTATGTCTGTTGATTGTGATGTTAAGTTGTCATGTTCCAAGGTTTTAGATTAGGCAGAATGGAGAACTAAAACTTGGTTGGCTTCCAGAAGAGATTTGCCAATTCTCACCATTTGCTTCTGGAGACTGGAGGCTAGGTCAGAATTTGGATAGATTTTTGCCATTCTAGTTAAACAAAGCAATTAGTTTTCATAATTAACAAAGCAGACAGTTCTATCCAATTCAAAACAAGCCAACTTCACAAGGCAGCAACACTGTTATTTCTTCAAAACTTGGTTTTGTTACATCACCAATGAAGTATATAAGGAAAACAATTAGTATGGCTATCCTATAATTAAGTGCTCTTGTTAGTAGTATCAGACAGAATTTATGGATGGTATATTTTGTTTGTGCCACACATCATATTCCAAAAAATCAAAACAAGAGCTGGTTGAACTTTGTCATTATCAAATAGTAACTCCTCTGTGTTGTAAAGATCAGCTTTGAATTCTTTTCATTCTTTTTCTTGTCCTACACCCTTCACATTCCAATAATCAATACAAGAACTAGTTCAACTGTCCTTTTCAAACAATGGATGGTATTCTTGTGAGATGAATGCTGTCATCATTTGAATCACTAGGTTTCTCTCATTGGTCAAAATCATCAGCTGTTGGGCAGCATATGTTATGACACCACTTGGTGATATGACTTTGGGATATTATGCGATGCTACTCCCCTCAAATGACCATTCCTGCCATAAAAATGGAGGTACAGTTACTGGTGAGCTAGAAAATTTATAGAAACATTTCTACTTTATTTTTTTTTCTCATGAATATATTGTCAAAGTTCAATATACCATATATCGTGTATCTCGTTTTCTATCGTGTATCTCATGATACCAAAATAGATCGAGATTATAAAACATATAGAAGAGTCAATAAGTTAGAGAGTTGATGTCAGATTTATTTTTTTCTATTAATTATCAATGATAATTAATATTTGAAATACGAGAAAGCACACTAATAAATGAGGAAAATATTTGAAATGAGCGAAGTACCAGTAGCCTTGGGTTCAGGTCAATAATTACTTAGCTTGGTTTCCCTTTTTGGATAGAAGACATGGATCATATTACTTACCCAACTACTTATTATATATATATATATATATATATATATATATATATATATATATATATATATATATATATATACACGTTTGTAATTTATGCTTGGGTTCAGTTTCACATACTACCTCTAATCTAACTCATAGATGAGAGGAGAAATTAGGGGTTAATATAGTTTGAAATTACTGATCATCCAATTAAAATTATTATTGATTATCTATTAAGTGAGATGTTAGGAATGATTGATCCAAATCTGAAGTTTATTTGACCCGAGGTGTCGAAGAGCAAAGCTACCAGTCTATCAAGATATAGAGCTAAAGTGTTGAAGTGGAGAGCTCTAATTTTCTGAGATCCTCGAACTCTTGAGATGCCTACGGTGGCAGATCAATGTTCAACCCTTTTGTTACCTAAGTTGAAGGCTAAAATGTAGTATAAAGTTTGAAGAACGAGAAAAGAAAAAAAAAGATTATTTATGGTTAAGACTCCATAATTATTTATGATTTAAAAATAATATTTTATATAAAAAATCCTTACTATTAAGCCCTCCTCCCTCCCCCAAGTGATTTAAAAATATATTTTATATAAAAAAAGTTCTTACTATTAATCCCCTCATATTGGTTTTTACACGATGATGTCCCTTTTTCATCACTTGAAAATATCTCTTTATCACCACCCTCGTCCCCAACCATTGCTAGTGTCGTCATTACCTTCTTTCTTCTTCTTCTTTCTCCTCCCCCTCCCCTCTCTCTCCTCTCCACCCATCCTTTCTAATCGCCTCTTATGAGAGGAGATAGAAAAAAGATGATGAGAAAAGACAAGCGAAAAGGATGGAAGGGAAAGATGAGTAGAGAAAGAGGAATGGAGAAGGCGTTAGAAAAGGTTAGATGACATTGCCTTGTAGTAGTGGGGTAGAGATAACAACAACAATGCTAGCGACGATAGACGATCAAGGATGAAGGTGGTGGAGAAGAGATATTTTTATCAAAATAACAAAAAAGGAATAAGGTAAAACATTCTTAAAAAAAAATATTTCTCGAATCACAAATGATTAGATGAATATTTTCTATTAAAATGTTTCCTGACATGATAGATTTAGACATAACTAGTTTTGTTTAGTGTAAGACATGATAGATTGGACGCAACTACTTTTGTGCCACCCTATGATAAAAGAAACTATGAGCAGAGAAAATAGATCAGGTGAGCATATCATGAAGCTAATTAAAAAGCATGCATCTGCCACAACTTGCAACTCGAAAACAATATACATTTCAAAGACTTAGTTTAAGCATGTCTACATCTTACTTGTTACAATTCTCCTCTGGCAAATCACTCTCTGCAAGTGGATGAACACTAATTTTCTAGAGCTTGGATTCTTAGTGTTTGCTCTACGAAAGAAAAGGATGCACAGAAACGCTCATTGATATCCATCATTCTAACCTCCTAACCTCGACAAAAAGTCATGAGTAAGTGAAAAGAGTGGATGGTTTTGAATGAACTGAAAGAGAAGAAGAAGATAAGCACGACTGAACTCAATGAAACTATAGTAAATGACACTGCAAAACATATAATATTATCATCATCTAATAACTCTATAAAACAACATCATCATCAACAACAATAACAACAATCGAATGGAGAAAAGAGGAGATGAAAGAAACTCCAATTTGCCAAAGTCCAATTGTCCTAAACCGATGGCCTAAGAAAATGTGGACCATCCAAGCCTTGGCTTGTCTCCACATGTATTAATCATACAAAAGAAAAAAAAAATCACCACCACCATCAATTTAAGAAAGAACCAAAGGATAAAAGGTGCTCATCCTATCCAATCGTACCTTCAATTGGAGCCCATCCAGATCTTTACCAAGAATAATCTACTACAGTATATGCTCAACTAGAGTGAACTAGTTGTGGTAGTTTTCAGGAAAAAAGAAAAGAAAAGACAATACACATCATGATCTTATCTCAAGTAATTATCAACAAAAACAACTAAATAAAGAGAATTCATGCTGGTTCCAGTGTTTTTGAATAGGTTTATAGTGCTTTTGACACCTCTATCAAAACATTATGTCTATTTAAAAACTAAGCAAATATTTGTGTCCTTCCATCATCTCCCCCAACTTCAAGATTCATGTTATAACATCATCGTCTCCTCATGCTTCAAGTTTCGTACCTTCCAATCGTCTCCTCACGCTTCATGGTTTGTGCCATCCAGCCTTAGATTTCCTTCCTGACACTTCCAGACTCGTGCCGACATGCCATCTTCTCCTCTCGCTTCAATATTCGTGTCATCGCCTGTCAGCATCTCTCACTCCTGGAAGAAGATGAACTAAGGATTGATTCCATATATCTTTCCCTCATACATATATATGTATAAGATAGGATATAATGCTTGTAAGTTCTCAAATGACATCCGACATACAGTGTTTATGCTTAATATGCACAGTTAGGCATCAGAGTTTACTCTTCAGATTTGAATGTCCACCAGTGGGCATTACAACTGGACATTATGAACCAATTTCCTCCATCTCAGATACAAACACTGAAAAAAATTGAACACATTGCTACAAATCACAAACATTGATCTAGTCAACTATATCGAAGCAAAGGATCGGCAGAGATTGATACTGAAGTCAAGCTGCACAAGAGTACTGTGGTACAAGACTTCTTTCTCTGACCAACTCGTGAAGATCATGAACAATCTTAAAGACCGCATCTGGACGTGCAAGCTTTAGAGCATTCTGAGACATGGCTCTGAACTCATCAGACTTCGGACCAAACCACTCGGCGACTATCTTTGCAATCTCTTTTGGTGATTTTGAGAACTTTCCACATCCGTTGTCCACAACAAAAGGAACATTACCAACTTCCTGTTGTGCAAACATATGATGACTTAGTTGCTGAATTTATTAGGTATTACAATACACGATTTCAAGAGAAGGGTCATTAAGTCATTGCAAGCAACATATACATCACAAACTAAAGATTTGTGGATCTGATTGATGTTCAATTATGTCCTCATTACATAGGGAGCCTTGTGCTGTCAACCAGTTTGGTAAGATCTAAAGTTTAAAATTGATAGGGAATTCTGATCCTTGGGCTTATAGCTTAACAAAATTGTACCTCCACTCACTGCCTCAGACCTCAACAGCCCACTTTTCATCAATGGGGAGGACAGAAACACTGAATGGAGGGGCAAAGAAGAGGATAGGAGGGTGGAGACAGGAATGATCACCAGGTAATCAAGCCAGTTTAAGTGATCTGAGTTTTCTTTCAGATACCCCAGAAGTCAGCATGGCAGTTAACCATGCCAGGTCAGCAACATGTACCACTGCTGGCAGAAATGTGTGGTGGTGGTAAGATTCAAAATAGTGGATCAAAATTTCACATAAATTTAAGTCAGATCTCACTCCAAGACACTAATCATTAAAAGAAAAACCAAGGAAAGATCCTGGGGAATTTCTTTTATGAATGACCGAAGAAGCTTTTATCACTGTATTTAAGAATGTTTATTGACAAGTAAAGGCTACAAAGTTTTCACCATGGTTAAACTCACATTAAACAAAAAGAAAATGGTGAGACAGAAACATTTGCACAGACCATTTCATGTGCTGGTGCTTTGTAATCCCTGTGTAATCTAACATAATTCACTGAAAAGGCAGTAAACCTACAGAAGCCAAGTAGACTTACCTGCCCAGCAATATAGTCATTCAGAATAATAGGAAGACCACGGATCATTGCTTCCGCAATAGTACCTGGTCCTGCCTATAGAACATGAAACTCGTTATATTTGTTCTTCAGGAATGTAAGCCAGAGATTAAAAATAATAAAGTCGCAGAAAACTTACTTTGGTAATTATGCAGTCACAAGCACCCATGCATTCTTCCATCTTAGTAACAAAACCTTTTACCTGGAAATTCAAGAGAGTTCATAGATGATGAGAATGAATTATAGAGGACATAGTAATCACACAAAATTAGCATTTGATTAAGTTCCAAGTAAACACTACAGAAATTGTACACTTAGAATGCCAAAAGCATCTGAAGCATTTAAATTAAAAGAAGACAACATAATCCAAGTTATTGCCTCACAGGCAATGTTTAAAGCATTATCTACAAAGATAATAACAAAGAGCCTATGATCTCAGCCACTTGGGGTTGCACCAAGGAAGCTCTCAGAAATCTCATAATATAATCATGTCTTTTCTCAAACAGTCATTTTGGTTTTCTTCCTCTCATGACAATTCCATCAAATTGACTTGCATTCCTAACTGATGAATCTATAGGCCTTCTTTTTTTATAGGCTTTCTTTTGATATGTAATAACGTCATTTGATAATAATTATTTAAAAATTTAGTTGCCAGAGTACTGCAATTAAAATTGTCATTGTCACATAGTGGCCTAAAAGAATCATCTACCAATTATAAACTGTGAACTGATCATAATGCTATATCACATCTAGATCATAATGCTATATCACATCTAGATTTCAACTAAAATGAAGCTATATATATACATCATTGGCATGACTGAATTCTCATACAAGTCCAAAGAGCTCAGATTGATCAAATGGCACTCAAAGAGGATATAAGAGGTATTTCTTACAACAAAATTACCTACCATAGTAGAAAAAAAGGAATAAGAAGAATACATGCTGTGTTGCTTTAAACCTAAACCGCAAATTAAAGGGAAAATTATCTCTAAGTGAGGACTTGAGACCTGATGGATCTCAAACCCATAATAAGAAAGCCTTCTTAAATCCATAAAAACTATCCACTCACATTGAGCACAAATTGGTTTTGACCTTCTGTTTCGTAAGGGAGAGAAAGGAGTCAAGAGGACAGGAAGATAAATGATAGGAATCAGAAACACAGTGAATTCAGTCTATAAATGTTACAATTAATATTAAAACAACCCAATTGAAAACCCAGATTTCAGCCGAAATTCAGCAATGTCCAATCTCAGTCTACATATGTTACAATGACATAAAATCAGCTCAACTGACAATCAAGATTTCAGCCGAGATCCACCAATCATGTTCTATCAGGAGAACCTAGCCTTGATGAACCCTGTGGTGAAATCTAGTACAGATTCCACAAGGACTGATCAGGTTTCTCCAATTTTGATTTGGATAAGATTGATGGTTACCAAAACTCTGATTAACCTAGCAGATTTCACAAAGACATATGGGTGAATGGACCTCGTGCTATGGAACCAACTAAATAATGGCTGACCTTCGAAGACCCCAATATGGTTGGTCAATTCTGAAGACCACTCTCATACTTCAAAAATTAACTTATGCTACCTCTGGACAAAACATAAATGAAAAATACTTTCAAGCAAATCTCAAGGATCACTCTTGTGGTTCAGAATATTAATTTAAGCTGGCCATAGTTAAGACAACAAATCAGTACTATTGAAAACTACTTCAGCATAACCTAATCAACAAAAGGAAATTGTAATAAAAGAAAATTCACTATTAAGCTAAGTATTACAACCACCAGTTAAAGAGAGATTAAATACCTGCACAGGAACTTTCCAGTCAATTGACTGCAATCTGTTGGCAAGTTTTCTGTTTCGGCCACAAATTATCAGGATCTGACCTATATGTTCTCCAAGATTCTCACTGTACAATGAATCACCCAGTGCCCGAGCAGTAGCCTCAATAGGACCCATTCCTTCCCCACCGCCCATCAACAAAACAGCAGGTAAATCCTCATCCATCCCTAAATCCCTTCTTAATTCCACCTGTTGTGAATTAGGAAGAGAAGAGACATTATTAACAAATAAATCAAAGCATTAGTAGATTAATTATAATAACACTTCAAGAAGGAAGACTGGTTAATGAAATTTAATGCTTCGATAGAAAATTGACTACCTTTGGTCGAATTGGTTTAACAAAAGAAGGACGCACTGGAAGGCCATAGACCTTGATCTGTGAAGGCTGCAAACCAGCTTTTAATGCCCTCTTTGCCACCTCAGTAGAAGGGCAATAGCATCTTGTTACGAGCCTATGGAACCTAAAATCAACAACAGCAACAGAGAGAAGATGTCATTAGTTATGCTAACAACAAGTCTATGGAACCTACAAACACACCAAATAAGAAAAGGGCATGATCAAATCAGGAAGTAAGAGAAGACTAATATTATCATGGATTGTGGACATAAACAGAAAGCAAACTAATGATGTTAACTAATGTTATAAAGTAAGCTTACCATGTTGGATGGCATGTGCTCAGATCTGTCACAACTGTAGTAAAGATGATCTTCTTCAACAGACCTTTCGCCCTTAGGATTCGAAGAGGGACATGTTGCATTAGTGGATGAACACTAATAATAATATCAGGCTGGTACTTCATTAACCCTTTTGCAACTTCTCTGCACTTATAAACCAAAAAGATCAGGTTATAAGCAAAAAATAATAATAATAATAATAAACCTGAGTGGAAGTTCATGATCAAAAGGTCTTGCTAGTGTTATACCAACTTAAGTATGGCCAAACTAATTAGGTCATAAAATTGTATATGATAGTCTCAATCCTCTGCAAAATAATAGCAATACCATTGATTCGACTGAGATAAAAAAAGGCTCTCCACTTGTTGTTAATAAAAAAATTAAGAACTTATTGCCATGTGATCTTGGCTGGATATTAGTAACGAAAATATCAAATTTTATGTTTAACAGCAAATACGATGACATTGTTCTCATGTTCACATGATTCATAAATGATCTCAGATAAACCATGTAATTCTCCCATAGAAATTATGCACCATCTCAATTTGCAGATAAAATTAGCTACGATAGACACAGATTTTAGCCTTGCTTGATGATTACAGTACTTCTTTGGCACTAATAGCAGGATTCTCTGGACTAAATTAAGGCTTCAGGAAGTAATAACTGAAGATACATTCTTATGATTCAATTCCAAAATCCTATTTGATTAATACAAAAGAAAAAGAAAAGCCACAATGATTCAATTGTAAGAAAAAAAAATGGATGGACCAGTGCATGAGGCTCCCTCACTGAGGTCTAGAAGGGTCAACGAAAGCAGCCCTGTCTCCGAAGAGAGGCTATTTCCATGATTCAAGCCTAGTCTTCTTCAGCTGGGAACAAAGAACAACATACTCTAGATGATACAAAGGAGAGACAAATGAAAGTGATTGGACAACTTTCAATTGTACAAAAGAAAAAAAGGGATGGACCAGTGCATGAGGCTCCCTCAATGAGGTCTATAAGGGCCAATGAAAGCAGCCTTGTCTCCGAAGAGAGGCTATTTCCATGATTCAAGCCTAGTCTTCTTCAGCTAGGAACAAAGAACCACATACTCTAGATGATACAAAGGAGAGACAAATGAAAGTGATTGGACTACTTTCAATTGTACAAAAGAAAAAAAAGGGATGGACCAGTGCATGAGGCTCCCTCAATGAGGTCTATAAGGGCCAATGAAAGCAGCCTTGTCTCCGAAGAGAGGCTATTTCAATGATTCAAGCCTAGTCACCTGGGTTGCAAAGGATTCAGATTAATATTTTCAAATCACGAGTTTTGGAAGCCAGCTTAAGAACAATTTTCTTTGCAAAGTAGTTAATAAGTAATTGTTGGGAAAGATAAAGACAGATTCAGGATAACTTATTCTAACATTCTTTTGTCACATTTTTACACCAAAACATAAAACCTCATACAATCTACTTAGGCAATTCTGAACTCCTAATTCACTACAAGTAACCATGTTGCCTGACAACTATCTAGATGTTATCCATCTCCTTTAGCTATTTTTTCCACATGGACCCAAAATATAGAAACATCACTTATTGGTATCTGTTATTCATGAATGCTATTCTAGAAACTTTAGAGCCTAAGTAACCAAATATGTATAACTTTTTAAGCACTTTATACACTGAGTCTTTTGGACCAGAATCAGGATATCATCGTAAGACCCAGACTGTCAAACTGCAGTAAGTAGCATAGGAACGAAGGTAGTATATAACCTTAAAGCAATCTGAAAACTAGAACATAATGCACGCCACACACATCATCGTTGATTGATCAGACCTTTCTTTTCAATGAATTGATTATATAGTGTGATTTCATGTTTTTAACCCCAAAAGATCAACCAAAGAAAACAGTGCACTGAATTTTCTTTTCCATGATTGCTTTTCCTTATTCTTTCATATCTTAAACTACATCACACATTTCATAAGTTCATTTTAAAGGATCATCCATTTATCATCATCACTGTTGTGTGTCAGAGAAAATCTTCACTTCTGCATGATACCCTCTTCAGAGTTCAGTAGTCACCAAGTGCACTGGCCATCACAAATTCTTTCTAGAATTAAAAAAAAAAACAAGGATATGGAAGAAAATAAAGAAACATTCTTACCGAGCTATTAACGTTGAAGTTGCTGCAAAATGTGGTTGATGCACCAAGCGAGGGGCGGATCCATAGTATGTCATTTTCCACAAAGCACCGTGCTTCACCAAAAAGTTATAGCTCCTAGGCAGTTGATTGAACGGCCAGGGTGTGTGGTCGGTCCACAGATCCGTCACAAACACCTACATCAGCACGCCATGTACAGAATTCGAAACACACGAAGGTCAGAAGACAAGACATCAATCACCACAAGAAACCTCACCTGGTACTCTTCTCCGAACTCTTGATTGAAAGCGGCCTTAATGGCCTCGGCCGACGCCCTATGCCCGCCGCCAGTGTCGCTCATCAAGATGAGAACTTTCTTCGACCTCTCGCACTCCACCACGCCATTGACGGGCGCCCCGTCCTCCTCGACCACGCTGGGGCCCTCATCATCCAGCCGAATCTCACCGCCGGAGACGCCGAGGGAGGCGAACCCAATCGAGGCACGACGCTCGCAGTGGATCCGCGAGAACCGATTGAACTCGCTCCAGAGACGGTTGAGCTTCGAAGACAGAGACGACGACGCTCTTCCGGGAAGCGCGGCGAGGGAGGGCGAGCGGCGGTAGAGGTAGGTGGAGTTCAAGGGAACGGAGGAGGAAGCGATGGGGAAGAACGGGAATCGAGCGACGAGGGAATCGAAGGGGAGGAGGCAGCAGAGGTCGTGGAGATTGGTGGGCTCTTGGCAGATGGAAGAAGGCGGCATGGGAGCGGATTGGGTGGGGGTAGAAAACACATGAGCGGGTTCAAGATGGCGAAGGACTGAGTGCCGGAGAGAGAGAGAGAGAGAGAGAGAGAGAGAGAGAGAAGATAGGCAGATCAATAGCAGGAAGGTGAGCTAGAGAGAGAGAGAGAGAGAGAGCAGGAAAGATACAACTGTTGGTAATTAGTAGCCTTTTGGGGGAGTTTTTATTTTTATTTTTTCGAAAAAAAAATCAATTAAATTGGACAAATACTCGATTTTTTTTATTTTTTTCCGAGCAACACTCATTTCCTTTAGTATTGTTGAAAATATTTTTAACAATACCAAAGTTTTATAATATTTTTACACCACATTACAATATTTTTAACAATACCAAAAATAATATAATATAGTATAAAATATTATATTATGTTATATTCTTTTAGTATTGTTGAAAATATTATAACATAGTAACATTATGTAAAAAATATTACAAAATTTATATAAAAATATTATGTTGTATTTTTTTTTAGTATTTATAAAAACACTATACCATAATATAAAAATAATATAACTTGATCGATTCACCGACTAATAGAAAGGGATGAAAAAATAATATATTTCAAGTATTAAAAAAAGAAGGTGTTTGAAAATTTTAAAAATGGAGAGCCTTTGAAATTGTACAAATGTACAATTAAATTTCATTAAATTTAACATTAATATTTTTTTTATTGTAGTTGTGTAAAATAATAAAAAAAATTAAAGGTAGAGTTATTCTGTGTTAATTAATTGTCTCTTAATCAATCATGATTAGTTTAAGAGGATCTTCATATAAAGATATCACCTGCAAAGCATCTAATACTTTGAAGAAATTAATATTATTAGTTATTTTTGCAAAAGAAGAAAAATATTTTTAATTAACTATCATATTTGTTATAATTGTTGTAACCATAAAATACCACTTGCAAGTGCCAAAAGCAAGTCACCAATGGCAATCACCTCCTACTCCTCTCCCTCCCGTCCACACCGACGGAAAACCCTAGTGTGCTTGACAGTACAACTCCTTGTTGCTTCTGTCCATTCTAGAGGCATTCGAAGGTCATCCAGTTTTTTCTAAGCACATTTAGCGTGCCCTAGCTCATCTCTCCAAGTACTTTTTTTAATTGCTCTGTCACTTACTCGTTTCTTTTTCCTTTGCTACTCGCTATATTGTCCTTTGCGATTCTAGGGTTCTCGTTTAGTGTCTCTTTGTTGAATTTGTTGTTTTTTCCTGTCATTCTATATTTCTAATGTTTAGTTTGATTGGAATCAACTATGAAGTGTTGTTTATTGCTTAGGGGTTTGTTAATAAATATAGTCGAGTCTCTGCTAGTCAAAAATCAAAACTTTGTTAACGCTCAGGGATTTATTAATAAATGTATTTGAGTTCTTACTAGTCAAAAATCATAACTTTGTTAATCGTGTTAGTGTTAGATTATGTGAATTCCTTATCAACTAATACCTACAAGATGTTAGAAGGGTTTCTCTTAATTATTTATCTTATACTTTTTACTCTCATCTATTAATATATAGGATCTTCTAGGGACTATATATGTGATAATATACATGAGATTATAGATTTATTCTTGTCTCTTTTTAATCTATATTTTATTACTCATGATGATCCTATGAAGGATAAATAGAGATGAAAAGATAAGTTTAGTTCTATTTACATATTGATGTTGCTGAGTTTTACAAATCGAATTACAAAGTGCACGTTACGATTCAAATAAAGGTATTATGAATGATATTGAAAGATACACACATCTATTTTTTTTATTAATGCTTATTTGATTTTATATTCTATTATTAAATTTATTTCATAAATAGTATTATTATGATTTTATACTTATAATTGGTATTAGAGTCATGCTTAAATTCAAATACCTTATATCACAAAAGTATTTAAATTTGTTTATATGTACCCTTCGCTTATGAAAGAGCGTTATTGATCTAGTTGTTATCTCGTTCACCTTAGTCATCTGCTTGTGAGCAATCAAGGTTCTCTCGCATATGCGTGTGAAGCCATGTTGGAAGATTCTTGTCCAGTTTATGTTGATGGTCGTGGGTGGCTTGTTGTCCACGATAATGATGCTACTGATGATGCCAAGGATAGTAGCTTGTTATTATCTAAGGTGCGATGATTGGTCGGTAGCCTACTGTGGTCACTAGACCCGTAGGGATGCGATGGTAGTGTTACATACTATGAAGTCATCGCTATTATATGTGGCAGCCTAGTAGAGGGTGATGACCTACTATGGTTATCGACCCTGCCACAAGCAACACAACGGAAGCATGGTGGCGATGATTACTGTATGCAATAGCCCAATGGCAATCGATGATCGAATGCTATGTGATGGCAGACGATGATGCACAACACGCGATGGCAAGCATACCAAAAGTTGCGGGTCTTGTTGTGGTGGTGTTTGGGCCGACAACGAGCAAGTGGGGTCTTCCTTATTAGGTTTTGATAGTAGCAAACATTGGTGATGCTTTCTCGGACTAATGATGATCTTTGGCCTTTGTCTGGTTGCAAATGTAAGGTTGCCATTAGTAAAGATTGGAGCGACAATGACGCGAGCAAGCTGTGGTGCGAACAATGGCTAGAGAAAGGGTGAAACATTAGGATCTTAAGACTTCCACCCTAGCAAAGGTAAATTTTGCCCTTACAAAAGTAATTAATTCTAGTCGATATCCTTTGTTAACATTTTTACCCTTCCAAAATCAGATATTTCTAATATATGTCCCAACAAAATTATAATTTTACCCTTTGAAAATTAATTATTTTTTACTTATGCTCTTAGTCATAAAATTCCTATTTTACCCTCATAAAATTGATTATTTATGGTAATATTATCTTAACAACCATAATTCAATAATAATAAAATTATGTAAAACTTGATAAATATTTTATCAAGATTAAATGACAAAAAATAAATTAAATATAATTTATTTTTATTCATGTGACATAATTTATTATTATTAAGTTTAAATGCTTATGTTATTAAGAAATTTTAATTATTATCTTAGATATTTATGTGGCTATTAAATACATAAGGCTATTAAAATTATGAAATAATATTTATTTCTTATATAAAGGCATGATTTATATTTTATTATGATTATAATCATTATATAAGTTTTCTTTTATGTTGATTAATGTTAGCAATTACTATAATTATTTTTTTTATTATTAAACTATTTTATATAAATTAAATTAATAAAAATTTTGTAAATATTATTTGTAATATATATATATCTAAATTTCATTTGACTAGTGGTTAAGAAAGTGACATAAGATGATTGCTTATGGGATGCGAATTATATAAATATTTTATCATTTATAAGATATTTTAAATTATATTTTATATTATTATATTAGTTTTATAATCGTTAAAGTGGCCCAACCTAATGACTTATAATATTATATTAAAATTTTAGTCCTAAATGATATTAAAATAAACTAATATTCATTATGACATATATAATTAGGAGATTTAAATAATTTCAAAGGAGAATTTATTTGAATAATTATGTAATGAAATCGAATAATACTATTTTGGATATTTTTATAGTTTATGATTATATACCCAATGATAGTAATACTATTTCACAAGAATGACATCAATCCTTTATAAATAAATTTAAATAAATACTAGATATATTAATATTTCACCCTAAGATGAAATATGAATGATTTTAATATTTTATCATATTTTAGAAACTCAAGATATTAATACTATTTTATATTTATAATATATTTTCTTTTATATATTCTCATGCTTTTAGTGTTTTTGTACTCTCTAGTTCAAATTATTCAGATTAGTTAGAACATATGTAGTTTACACTATGTGTATTAGATTTTAACATAGCATTGTTTGTTAAAAGGTCCACAAACCTCACTAATGAAAGCATCATAAAATAAATTAATAAAAATAAATGCTTAGCAAAGATCTAATATGCTCCGCCTAATATTTATAAAAATGATAATCGTAAATATTAAGACTTCATTATCGCTTACAACTTGTACATAAAAATATTTGAGGGTTATCGAAGATAAGTAAAACTACATTGCCGAGTCATTAGCTAATACATTATTGAAAGAACCGATCACGGTTCTTTCAATATCATATCCTTAAATGATTCAAGATCATATCCTTAATATGGTTATCGAAGATAAGTAAAACTACACTCAAAGGATTCAAGATCATATCCTTAATATGACTAACAAGATTATAAAACTTAAAGTATTAGGCATGAATGAAGATGAGTTTTTCCTCGTGTAGATTTTTTAAATTCTTTTCCTCCTTAGATTAGCTCATTCAAGATTTACTATAATATAAATAAAGATAAATAAGACTTAAATAAGCTGACTAGTGGATACATTAAAAAAGAATTAAAGTTAAGATAAAAAATTTTATAATATTTTAATTACTACTCAAGGAGTTGGTAAAAAAAAAAGGTTGAAATGTTATCCACTAAATAAATTTATAAAATACTAAGCAGACTAATAAAAAAAAAGGTCTTCATGGTAGAGTACTTCCTTTATGGTAATAAAAGAGATATAAAAAAGGATTATGTTAAACGCAATGTTTAGTTTGAAACGAAAAAATATAAACTTAACCTTTTGTATATTTCTAATCAAATATTATATAAGTTTATTTTAATACTTGATAAATTGATTCTGGTGCTTCAACTTATGTTATCGATAATATGTAAGGATTTCTTATAATCCAAAAATCAAAAGAGCATGAAAGATTCATCGTTATGGCAAATTGTAAGCGAAATCGATAGTAGTGGGAACTTATCGCCTACGCCAAGACATGAGTCACCAAATATATCTTACGGACACATGCTATATTTCGATTATCTCTAGAAATTTAGTTTCTCTATCTAGAATTAATAAGTTAGGATATTATCTTTCTTTTAGTGATAATAAACTTAATATATTATATGATTCAATAAAAATTGATTCTGAAATTTTGTGTGATGATTTGTATATAATTAATTTGAATCTTGAGTTTTTAAAGATATTAATGACCCTATAATTAAATATCTGATTGAAATATAGTTTCAATAATAAGAAATTTTTTATCTTATAGCACAAATGTCTAGGG